ATCGTTGTGGGATGAAAAATAATGCAGGAGGTGATGCAGAGGCCATGGAGGAAGGCTGCTTACTGCCTTGATTTCCATGCTTGCTCAGCCTGCCTTCTTCTAGACCTCTGAACCATCAGTCCGGGGATGGCCCCACCCACGATGGAGCCTTATGCCTTCTCATATCAAGTACGAATTAAGAAAATGCCCCACTAGCTTGCCTACAGCCCAGTCTTCTGGAGACATTTTCTCAATGCAGTTCCCATCTCTCAAACGACTCCAGCTTGTGTCAAGTTGACATGAAACTAGCCAGTACGCTACCCAAACAGTAGGGGACTAAACATTCAAATGCCTGCAGCTATGGGGACATCTCATTCAAAACACTGCAGACAGAAAACAAAAGCCTCAGACTAAAAGGGATGAAAACCTGCAGCTGACACCAAATTAACGGAAGGAGACCAGCGCTCCCTCAAGACCGGGGACAGGACGAGGGTGTCCACCCCTGCTCTTTCTAGTCAACATTATACTGTAGGTTTTAGCCAAGCAGATGATCACAAAGGAATGAAGGAGGTCAGGATTGGAAAGACAGAACAAAACTGCCTCTACTTGAACATGACACGAGCTTGTATTTTGCGCAAGTTCCCAGGAACTCAGCTAGGACCATCAGACCTGGTGCTGAAGTCCAGCACAATGGCAGCTTGTAGCATCTGCATGTGAAACGAATCAGATTTACCGAGGCCAGCAGAAAATAACCCGAAAGTGAAGCCAAGGGATCACTTCTGTTAATAGTAAGACGGGAAGAAATGTAACAAAAAGAACACAAAGCCTATTCTCTGAAAACTACAAGATGTTGAAAGAAATGCAGGTGAATCTAAGGAGACAGGAAGGCGGCCAGCGGTCATGGAAGGAGGACGGAAGACGTTATCCTGAGCTGCCTACTCTGCCCTGGGTGCTCTCCGGAGTTAACACAATCTTAAACAGAATTCCAACCTGCTTTTCTGCAGAAATTGACAAGTTGGTCCTAAAATTCACATGGAAATGCGGGAAACCTAGAATAGCCAAAACAAGTTCTAAACGCAGAATTTCTCGTTTCAAAACACAGTACAAAGCTACAAAGACAATATGGTGTTGACATAATGGTAGCTATATAGAGCTACTATATACGAGCAGGGCTGAGAGGAAGCCTGGGCTCACGCTGACGGGCTTCTGTGAAAGAGCCAAGGCAATCCCGTATTGAGATGTCATCTTCAGGAGTGGTTCGGGAACAGCCGGGGACCCACATGCCAAATCAGACCCCTTCATACACAGACACGTGGCCAATGCTAGCAAAAATGTTAAAGGTACAAGATTTGGAGACTGGAGGGGTGAATCTCCTTGAGATGGGTTAGGCAAGCTTTCTTAGATATGATCCCAAAACACACAGGATGAAGACAAAAAATGTGATAAATGGGTCTTCATTAACACCCAGACTCTTTATTCAATTGTCTGCTTATATCTGTATCACCTATCCATCACCTATTGATCTATCATCTATCTTTCTATACCTATCATCTGTTTCTTTATATCTGCTTAGGTATCTATATGTCCAGGTAACCTTGAGGACAACCCTAGTGACAGAGAGTAAGCAATCCCAGTGTTGGGAAACCAGAAGCCTCCCCTGCTGTGGCTGGGAGGCCAGATGGCCCAGCTGCTTAGAAAAGGGTTTGTGTCCCTTTGAGGTCACAACCCATGATTTCACTCCTAGGGGTTGCCCCCAGAGGAACAAAATCTTGTCCATGGACACTGGCAAATGTCCTCGAAAGGGACACGCATCCAAATGCCCGTGGACTAGAGAATGGATTGACGTGATGCAGAGCCAGCTCTATGTTCTTTATCTTCACGGCATGTGGTCCGAAACGAGCAGATGCTGGGACCCTCCCGGAGAGCAAGCTGCATCTGAACTAGTTTCCTCCACACTCTGCGGCGCCACCACACAGCCCCCGAGTCATCTGTCCTTTCGTATTCTCCGCATAGGGTCTCCTCTGCGCCATTATTCTCACACTTGGAACCTTCATTAAGTAAAATAAGGGTTACCCAGAGAGAAGCACTGTGACACTGTGATGTTCATCAGATAACAATGCGGCGACTGACAAGAGGCGTTTTGTATATGGCGTGGATGTGTTGCTCAAAGGGGTGAGCTGCACAGTGACCGTGGGTGGGCACTATGATACTCTGAATGGGATGTGACGTAAGCATTTGAGTTTTTGACGTGTAGAATTTTCCGTTTACTGCTCTGAGACAGTGGTTGACCACAGGTACCTGAAGCTTCAGAAACCAAAACAAAGGAATGTGACTCTGTAATAAAAGGAAAAAAAAAAAAGAAGAAGAAGAAGAAAGAAAGAAAGTCAATGTTAATACACTACACCTCAGACACCTTAGAACCATGGCGCTAAGAGAGAGAAGCCGGTCATTGAAGGCCGTGGACTGGATGACCGTTCCTGTGAAATCCCACACTAAGCAAGCCCAGACACAGCAGCCCTCCCAGGGCTATGAGGGTTGGAGGAAGAGGGGTGACTGCTAGTAGGTACAGGGGTTTTGAGGAGGGCAGTGAAACTGTGTAGAATTGATGGTGGGGATTGCCAGCAAGACTTGTGACAATCCTGGGGAGACATGGAAAACCTCTGACTCAGCTTAAAACAGTGAATCCTGGGCCATGGGAATTAGACCTTCAGCAGAGCATCGTTAAAGGGAAAAGACAGCAAAACCCTGTCACATAATCTTTACAGATGACCTGGAGTTGGAACCAGAGCTAGTGCTGGGAGCCCACCCTGTTTAGAACCAGAGAGCCAAGGGCCACTATATTCTCACGACCCAGGCAGATATTTTAATTTCTTTTAAAATCAGGAAAAAAAAAGTTAAACTCTGAAATGGGTAAAGTGCTTGATACCTGACACATTCCTCTTGATACCAATGAGATTGTAAAATATAAGTTTTTGAGGCACTGGGCTGGCTAGTTTTATGTTAACTGGCTACAAGCTGGAGTCACCTGAGAGGAGGGATCCTCATTGGAGAAGATGCCTCCATAACACTGGGCTGTAGACAAGCCTACATTTTCTAAGTTAGAGACTGTATTAGGGTGAAGAGACACCGTGACTATGGCAACTCTTCTAGAGGAAAGCAGTGAATTGGGGCTGGCTTACAGTTCAGAGGTTTAGTCTGTTATCATCATAGCAGGTGGCATGCAGGCAGACGTGGTGCTGGACAGGTAGCTGAGAGTTCTACATCTGGAGGAAGAGACAATGAGTCACTAGGCCTGGCTTGAGCTCCTCAAAGTCCATCTTCCGGTGACACACTTCCTCCAACAAGGCCTCATCTCCTGGCAGTGCCACTCTCTATGGACCGATGGGAGCATTTTTATTCAAACCGCTACAGCGATTGATGGGGGAAGGTGCCCGGCTCATTGTGAGTGGTGCCATCCCCTGGGCTGGTGGTCCTGGGTTCTACGAGCAAGCTGTGGGGAGCAAGCCAGGAAGCAGCTTCCCTCCATGGTCTTTGTATCAGCTCCTGCCTTCGGGTTCCTGCCCTGCTTGAGTTCCTGCCCTGGCTGCTTTTGATGATGAACCGTTACAGGGAAGTGCAAACGAAATAAACCCTTTCCTCCCCAAAGGAAGGTTGTGCTGTTCATCACAGCAATATTAATCCTAACTAGGATACGTGACAAGGGGAGTCATAGTCAGGGTCTCACTATAAAGTTTGGGCTATCTTCAGATTCGTGATCCTCCTACCCCATCCTCCTAGACGCTGGCTGGCCATTACAGGCATCTGCCACTACACCTGGGCGAAATGTGAATTTTGACGTCAGTTTTCTTTTCTATGTAGGGAGGGTGTCTTGAAGACAAAGAGCCTAAGATCCAGTCAGTCTGATGCCTAGTATGGCTTGAATCTGAACATCTCGCTTGCTTGCCTACAGCTTTGGGGAAAATACATCACTAAAGAAAGTTTAAAACAATTTACTCAAAATCTAACAAAAATTTCGATTTCCTTTCTTGAGGGGAGGAGTTGTTGGGCTTGAGACCGGGTCATTATGCACACTTGTTGCTCTGCTACTAGGCAGGCTCCTCCTCGTCCCTTCTCCCTATCGCTCCCCTCCGGAATGCTCTTGCTTGTCAGCACGTCTCTCTTTCCATTGTTCGTCGTAATCTGAGCGGCACTGTTTTTGCTGTTGGACCCAGGCTGGCGGCTCAGCACCTCAGAGCCTTGCGGTCCTCATCTGTAAAGGGAGCCGAGGGTCCAGCCTCAGTGCAAACCTTCGGCTAGACACAGGCATACCTGACCAACAGCATGGTGTCCACCTTCCTGTGTGCGGCCCGACGGATCTTGGGCAGGAGGAGCGACACAAATCAGAGTAGAGAAAGAACCTTGGAAGGACTTTCAAGAGCCCCTGGGATCAGGCCCTGCCTTCACCCCATCTGTCCCCACTGTCATTGTCATTGTCATTGTCATGTGGCTGCCACAAAGCTCGGGAGCCAGAAGGGCTTCAGGGAACTTTGAGAACTATGGAGGCTCCAAACAGACAAGAGCAATTGAGGCAGGAAGGTTTGGAGAGGAGTCTGGATAGGCCAGTGGAAGCCTCCATTGGCCCACAGCGGGAATTTGGGCTTTTTTCTGTGAGATGTTATCAAAGGTTGTGTGTGTGTGTGCGCGCACGCACACACACACACACACACACACACACACACACACGGTGCACGTGATCAGCATACAGAATGGACAAGAGAGAAGTAAATGAGTCTGGGAGAACAGGAAGCACAGCCTGGGCAGGGTGGAGGCCAGAAGGAGACCTCAAGCCTGTGGCTTGGACAGGGGTGGAGAGTTGGTGGTTCCCACCGAAGCTCCTGGCATACAACAGGGCTGCTTGGAATCATAGTTAAGGAAGCTGCTTTGTGGGGCAGGTTTGCTTCTGGGAGCCTGGAAGGGGCAGGCAGACTGGGAAGCTGTGTCCTGCCATTCTGAAACCCTTCTTTTTCTTTTTCTCTCCCAAGATGAGAAATGCCGAAGCTTCATTGACCTGGCCCCGGCTTCAGAGAAAGGTAAGAAGTTAGCTCTGCCCTCCCTGGGGACCTGTTCTGGCCCTGTGGCTTGTCAGAGCCTGGGGCTCTCTCCTGGTGGCTGTCTTGTCACACAGCATTGTCTGTCTCCTGGTGCGATGAAGGGGGGGCAGTGAGGGAGGGCCTCCTCGGCTGGGTGATGGTCCTACCCCACACACTTGCCATTTTCTTGGGAATCTCCAGTAAGCAGCTCTGGGAAGACTAAGGGACAAGGGTCAAGAAACTCATTGCCCCTCTGATGGCAGGAAGGAGCCAATTCCCTCAGCTTGGTCAGTATCGTCCGTGTCCAGTTTCATCAGCCAAGACCTCTATCAGTCTGTCCCTCTCACTGCCATTGATGATGGGGAAACGTCCCAGAGGGATTACATCACCAAACTTTCAGATCAAAGGGTAGGCCGGGCTGGGCTTTTGAGACAGGACCTTGAGTCTAGGGTGGGCTTGTCTGAGCAGAATTCTGTGTGCATGCCTGCCTTAGCATGGCGGGTGAGTTCTGCGAATACATTCAGTGTGAGCATGGGGTCACCAGGGTGCCCATGTATGCCTGTGCTTGTGCCCATCCGCATGTCCACGTGGTGCCCTCTGGAAGTACCGCGTGTCTGGGTACCGTGTGGTGCGGGCACATTGGCTGTGCTCCTCCAGGGGCCTCAAGGCTCTCTTGCTTTCTTTATGGGGGCCAAGGGCCCCCAAGAGCAAACGTCATCTGTTTTATTGGTGGTGCAGTTTGACTTTTAGGGCTTGGTGGCCGTGCCGAGGGCTGCCTGATGGGACATATCAAAGTGTTTACGAGGAGGTTGTGTGACGGGCCTTGTCGCCTCGTGAAAGAAGGCTTTTCCATCCCCAGTTGCCTCTCAAAGTCTCTGGCGTGGCAGGGTTGGTTTGTGGCAGCTGCGTGGCTCTCCCAGCTGCCCCCCTGAGGTCCCAGGTGCTTTTGGGTCAAGCTCCCTGCTCCCCATCTTCTCCACTTCAAACAGGAGTCCAAGGCGTAGAGAATGACTTTTTCTGAGCCGGTCCACCCCTGAGGGTCTACAGTAAGCAGTTCCGCCCTGGTGAGTTCTCACACTGGGCATTCTCTTCTTCCGGAGTATGGTGGCTACATCAACGTCCTCCTTCCTGGGGTCCTTCTGGTCCGCTAAGGTAGCAGAACACACCTCTCCTGCACACAACGGGCCTTGCTCACCATCCTCTGGGCTCCGTATGTCACACACAGTCACCCAACCCCTCTCACAGGTGATGAAACAGGCATAGCCTAGTCACGTAGTTAGGAGGTAGGATTAGAATCCAGCTCTTTCCTGTTTCCTTCTTTTCTTTAAAAAAAAAAAAAGGCCTAATCTGTTTATTGAGGGTGTTTACATGCCAACACGCATACGCACAGTGTATGTCTGGAGGTCTGGAGGTCAGAGGGTGATTTTCCGGGGTCCTCTCCTTCTATCATGTGTGTTATGGGGGTCAAGCTCAGGTCATCGGTGTTGGTGGCAAGTGCTCTTACCCATGAGTCATCTTGCTGGCTTGTTGGTTGTTCCTTGAGACAGGGTCTCATGTAGGCCAGGCTGGCTTTGAACTCCTGATCTTCCCATCTCTACTGAACCTGGTTCTCAGATGTCTGGTTCCTCAGCTGACAAGGTAGATCCCAGGAGTTGCGGGAGCCTGGGGCCCCTTCTCCGTGACCTCTGAGTGGGTTCAGGATCGCACTTCCCTACTTGCCTTAACCTCCCTAGAAGAAAGGTTAAGACATTTTCATGTTTCTGTGACAAATTATTGGCTACTGAGCCTCTGGGTGGCCACTGATTTACTTACTTATGGTGGGGTGGACCCAAGGCCTCACACACGTTGGCAGGTACTCACCAGGAAGCCACACCCTAGTGTCAGAATGATTTTTAAATTTTTATTTGTTTATTTTATATATAACATATACATGTAGGCATTTTGCTTGCATGTATGTCTGTACACCATATGTGTGCCTGGTGCCTGAGGAGTCCAGAAGAAGGCATGGGATCTCCTGGGACTGGAGTTACAGACAATTGTGCGCCTCCATGTGGGAGCTGGGAACTGAACCTCAGTCCTCTGGGAGAGCAGTCAGTGCTCTTGACTTTTGAGCCATCTCTCCAGTGTGTGTGTTGAGTTGTGTATCATCTTCTTATAGTGTAGACTAACCTCAAGCTCATGATCCTTCTGTCTCAAATTCCCATGCACTGGACTCACACCTAACTTAGAATGCTCTTAAAAAAATGTAAATCATATAACAGGATCCCCCTATTGAACCTCCCTGTGGGCCACACCTTACTCAGTGGAAACTCAGTGTTGTTGCTATGGCCTTCTAGGCCTTGTGTGACCTGGCCCTCTACCTATGATGTCATCTCTTACCACTTTCCCCTTTCCACTACACTCTAGCTCCATAACACTTGCTGTTCCTTGGGTCAGCCGAGGTGATGTGTGCCTCAGGGCTTTTGCATGTGCTGTTCCCTGGAACACTGTTCTTCCAGGACTGTTTTAGTGACACCTAAGTGCAGATGCTAGAGACAGAGGACCCTCCTTGCTGCCCTTTGATGTTCACTAGTGCTGAATGCAGCTTGCAAAGATTCACACAGGCATGCCTGTGGATTTAGATGTCCACACATTTCACGTACATGGAATCATGAATCCCTTTTCTTATCAGCACCCACAACTTCCTCCCCACCCCCTCCTTCTTTTTTCTCCTCCTGTGCTATGGGTGAACCAAGACCTTGCCCATGGCTAGGCACAGTTGCTACCCCTGAGCCCCACCCAAGTTCTGTCTTCCTCTTGTGAATAGCGATGGAATAGTCCGTCACAGAGTCTTCGTTATAGTAGCTGGACGCGTTGTCTTTGCACTCGGAAGGTCTGGTATCATGGCTAAACCTTGGGGATCTGCATGTATCTCTCTCCCTGTGAGGCAGCACCCCCCCTCTGATCTTTTGATGTTGGACCGAGAGCCAGCAGTGCCGCCTACACACTGGCAGTGGCGTGTGACCTGCTTTTCCACAGAGGTGCGTGTGGCAGGGCACACTGTGGAGGGAGCTGACCGAAGGTGCCTGAGCCCTACGTGCTACCAAGTCCAGTCTGAAAATAGACGGGAATTTCCTTTCTGCCCTGCCCTGCCTGCACTCCCCTCCCCCTCAGCCCCCAGCTTCCGTCTGCCTCAGCACCTCAGGCACTAGTCGTAGGGACAAAAGTGTCCTATCCATCACCGGAGCAGCTGCATACTCTTGAAAGCCAGTGTGTGACAGTCAGCGACGTTCATAGCAACGCTGGGGAACAAGCCAGCCTGCCACTCAGTTGCTCCTGCGTCTGGGGGAGGGGGAGGTGTTGGGAATTCTGCGATAAAGGCTGACTCGGTTCCAAGGATGCAGACTGGTCTTAAGCCTGCTGCTCATGCTCATAGATGCATTCGGGGGTCGGGTGGAGGCTCCTCTGACGGTAATGCCAGAAACACGGGGTGGAGAGGCTCTCTACATGAGCATGCATGAGGCCTTTGCTTGTCGCAGGCCCGGCAACTTCCCTTGGGTCAAAGCAAGATTCAGGGCTAGGTCTATCGTTAGTGGGGCAAAAACTCTGCCACCCACATGGAGGCTGGGATGCAATAAGGTGACAGTTTCCTGGGTGACGACAGAATGCCTCACCCTGACTGGGTGTGGCACCTGCTTGGGTGGCCGCCAGCGTGACTTTGACTGGGATGTGAGCATGTGAGACCTGTCCATTTGTTAGTTAACGTCCTCCCTGGTTACTGTCAGAACCTTGATTTCCCCTGAGATGACCTGATATTTGGTGGGGAACAACTATCCACTCCCTCATCACAGACCAGTGCGGTCCCTTGCCTGTCTGTTACATTCACACAGGCTTTTCCGGCAGAGGAGTCTTGAGCGCTGCCTTGTACAGGGCAGCCTGGGCAGGCACTGGAGGTGCAGGGGAGACTGGTCTCGAATAACTGTCCCCGGGGAAGGAGCTCGGCAAATAGCAGATGACCTTGGCAGGGGGCTCGGGAGGAAGAATGAAAAATCGCTCTAGTATGAAACATTGGGGGAGTCATGTGATGACTCAGATTCATGGCAGTCTTGGAGATGGGGCTAACAGGGACCCCAAGCTGGGGGCCAAGGTGTGATACGGGAGCATTTTCAGTTCTGCCCTTCCTTCATAAGCTTTCTGTGGAGCCTTCTGGTCCTACAGTCTTAGTTTGGCCCGACCTTGTGTGTGTGTGTGTGTGTCTGTGTGTGTGTGTCTGTGTGTGTGTGTCTGTGTGTGTGTCTATGTGTGTGTGTTTCAAGACAGGGTCTCTCTGTGTAGCCCTGGTTGTCCTGGAACTCACTCTGTAGAGCACATTGGCCTCCCACTCAGAGATACGCCTGCTCTACCTTCTGGGTATTGAGATTAAAGGTATATATCACCACTGCCCAGGAAAAATATATAAAGTTTTAAATTTCTTTGTTATTTGTTAGACAGGGCTACCTTAGTGAGACTGACCTTGAGCTTATGACCCTTGTGCCTCAGCCTCCTGAATGCTGGGATGTCAGGTGCGTCTCTTATTTAAGAGCAAGGTGTGAGCCAGGAGTGGTGGCTTCCTGGGTCCGGCTACCTCTCCTGTGTTCTAGAATCTGCCTCTTTCTGCTCTTGACCGCCTCCCTGGCGAGCCCCCAGATCTGTACACACAGCTGACCCTCTGCAGGAACACCTACTTTGCCCATCTCCCAGGCTCGAGAGACCGCCATCTGTGACGTTCCCTTTCCCAGGTCCAGGTGTATGACAAGCACCGTACTTCTTGTCTCTAGAGGACCTTGTACCTCACCCTGTCCAGGTGGCCTCTCAGCTGCCTGTATTCCAGGCTGCACTGCTTAGAATCCATTCTGCACCCACAGAACACCCTAGAAGACAACGATGAGCACGGACATCCGGCAACTGCTTACAGCAACACGGGTTGTGAGGCAGAAGCCCGATGCACAAGAATGTCCAGACAAAGTCAAGCTGGTGGCCCT